GAGAGGTAAACACTTACAGTTTGTTCTTGCCGACTGAGACGATTTTGGCCGCAGCTTCCAACTCATTGTTGAGCTAAACCTAAAATTCGTACTCACAGTGTGCTCGATTTCTTATGTCGATTCAAAAGGTAGTGAAATGATTTTCGATTATGAGGCAAAGAAGAAAACCCTGATTTCAATTTTCGTTCGCTCAAACCCTAATTGACAAGAATCGTTCGCTGATGTTGGAGAGAAATGAAATTGGGAGAAAAGGTAGGGCAACCGTCAACCGGAGGTGGGCTATTTATATTGTGTTCAAAACCGGATCCTAACAGGTGAAACCGGACTTAAAGGGACAAACCCGTGTAGTTTAGAGGGTGGTTTGCAAAAAAATAAAGTTCATATGGTGATGCGCCATTTTCGCGAAAGTTCAGATGGGAAAAAGATTTTTTCCCAACTTGTTTGATTAAGCCAAATTCTTGATTCATTGTTATGAATGACACACTAATTAAGGATTTTTATTTTTTTATTTTTTTCCGCAGGTGGTTGAAAGTGAGGAACACGTTGATTCAATATTTGGATATTTATAATTTATAATTGCATTATCGCATTATATTTAGAGATAATGTGAAGGAATTATATCAGATCATTATATGTAGGAACAAATATGATCAGATTTATATCGCATTATAATTATAATTGCATTAAAAAAAGATTTTTCATACAACAAAACACTTCAATTTAGGCGTGAAATCTGATTTAATTTTGGAAGAACTTTTTTTTTGTTCACCGATCAAAAATTTCTTTTTATAGGTTTAGTAATAAGTAGTAAGTAATAAAATGTACTCCCTCCTATTTTTATTTGGCTTAATGGATAATTGATTAAATAAATGTCGTTTTAGATATTTTTTTCATATTTTTCCGTTTTTAACCCTCCATCAATGCACAGTGTCTCTTCATATTCCAACTCCATAGTTTCTCATAACATCCATTAAATATGGTTAATATTGACAAGAAAAAAAAAATCTTATTTTGCTTCTCAAAACGACAAATAATAAAAATATGAGGGAGTATTAAATAAACCTAGTACATAGTGCACAATTTTAAGGTCATTTATCCATTCTTTTATGCAAGAATAAATGAATAAAGAAAAATGTACGGGATATATATAGTACGTGACCTGTGCGAGACACGAGATATATTTATTTAGAAAATATTATATTATAAGATGCAATATCAATACAAGTTTTACAATACGCAGGAAAATTGTACAATAAAATAGTCCACTTGATAATTTTTTATACAAATTACCATGCCCTCTTCAAAATTCCTTTCTGTAAATGCAGCAGTTAATTGCCCTTAGTCATGCCGTAATGCAATTTCCCTAAACATATACAAAAAGCAATCAATCAAAATTAATTTGTTTAAAAAATCTAAATAATAAAAATATATAAATACATACACGATATATAGAATAAATAAACCAAATTGCAAATCTCAAAATAAACTTAAAAAAATCAAAAATATATTTCACTAAACATGTGCAAAAATATCTAAATACATACACGAAAATAAAAAAAAATAAAGAAAAAAATAAAAAATATACATTTCAAAGTTCGAAATTAAAATAAAAAAATCAAATAAATTAGCTTACAATTTTATCATACAGAACCAACTCGAAATATGATTTGTACGTGCTGCCCCAGTCTTGGAAAAACATTCTCACAATTAGAACTTTGAGCATAGGTCTATTAGACCTATTGACTTGTTTGATTAAGCCAAATCCTTGATTCATTATTTTAAATAAAAGACTGATTGAGGATATTTTTTGTTTGCAGGAGGTTGACAGTGAAGAAAATGATTGCTCGATATTTTGAGATTTATAATTTTCAATGGGTAAAGTGGATATATATTGTTGTTAATATTTTTATTAAAAAATTTGAATAAACAGAAATCAGATTGAACAAAATCAGAACAGATTTTCATAAAATTAGAGGATTGAATAAAATGAGAACAGATTTCCATCCAATTAGATAATAAGAAGAAATTAAATATAGAATTTTATATCTATCTTTTTTTTAGTATAGATAGATTTTACGTAGAATTTTTGAATTCACCGATTTTATGAGATTTTTTTTTTACTAAATCGATGTTATTATGGAATAAGACAAATATATAAAGCCTTTTTTATTTTAGTAAGATTTTACGTAATTTTTTTTACTTATCGAATGTTATGAGATTTTTTTTCTTAAACCGATTTTATGTGATATAAGATAAATAAATAAAATAATTAAATAAAATTCTGGATAGAAATAGCAGTGCATTAATTACGTTGACTTTTCTACCTACTTAATTTGGTAAATAGGATACCTTATTATATAAGTATAGATAAGTAATAAGTAATTAAATAAAACTATTGATGGAAATAGCATGCATTAATTGTCTTTTGACTTTTCTACCTACTAATTTTGGTAAATGGGATAGCTTATTATATAAGTATAGATACATTTCCTATTTTATATTTCTATACCACTTCTAAAATTATGAGAACTATTAAATAAAACCTTATTTATTTCCCTCTTTTTCTACAAATAAAAAACAGGGAATTGTACATATATATACTTAAATGTTATATGAATAATTATATGTTTTAAACCAAGTAAAAACGAATTTTGTTGAGAAAAAAAAAATAAATGTAATCTAGTATGTATAATTTTTTTTTTTTTTTTACGTTCTCAAGAGCGTTTATTAAGTGTTTTACATATCAATGTTGCATAGATTGTTTGAAAAAGATTAAGTAAAAGTATAAACAAAAAAAATAAATAAAATCAAAACATCATGGTTATATAAATGTTATGTACAGAAAAACACAACATATTTTGTAAATATATTGACTATAAAAAAAGCAACATATACTGAAATTATTTAAATGCTCATCATGCACAAAGATTTTGACACTCGTCATTAAGTCTTGTTCTCTTTTACTAATAATTATCGACCTCGTCGTTTTTTTTCATTCAATTATCTTATTTTATTATTTTTTCAGTCGGATCGTAGCTTTCGAAGACATCTTCGTCAATTTTCACATCGTTCATGTCAAATTCTCCTTCTTTAGGTTATATTTTATGTAATATCTAAAAATTATAAACCAAATTTGGGAACAGAATCCAAACATCAAAATTTGGTTAGACAAATGTTGTAACATTATTAATAACATGTTTATATTATTAGATCTCACGACGTGGCTAAGAATTTTTTTGTTCATATATCAAATATAAACAAATAATAAACGTCAATTAAACATTTATATCTTCCACAAAAATGAATAAATCAAAACAAATGAATTTTTCCCAAGACTAAGACATCATTAATATGTGAATCAGGACACCGAGATTCTCGTATATACTCCGAGTTGCCGCACCGTCCTCGTCCAAAATGGTTGCTTTGTCCCTAAGAAATCGAGGACGAGAAGGGCTCCCCTGTGAAAGAGGCGCTCGTAGTCGTGGTCACCTCTGCGAGTCTGCAGCCTAAAGTTGTACCTCACGGTGCAACGAAAACCTGAACCTCATCCTCGGTTTAGGGGGTCATGATGAGGTCGGGCTAGGGATGGCGCAAGATAGACATTTAAGGTTCTCGTCAGTCGAGTTGAGGATGGAGAGGAAGGTACTTAAGGTTCTCGGCCGTGGAGTTGAGTGATCAAAGGGGGCTTTTCTCCATCAAGGGCGATTCATTCTTCGAGCCCGCGATAAAAAATACGTCGGACGTTCGGAGACGATGGCGTTGAGGACCGTCTCCTTCACCGCTGGGAAGGAGGGTGGGCTGCTTCCGACGTTGGGTGGGGCATCGAGTTTCATCATTTTCTATGCTAGAGCTTTTTGCTCGTTGAAAAGGAACAGATTAAAATAATTACAAACTATAAATCAAGTATAAACTGAATTTTAGTTTGTTTTTTTTTTTTTACCTTGTGAAGAGCACTTATAAAGTGTTTTGCGTATCAATGCTATCGTTGAAGGTATAGAATTAAGTAAAAAAATATAAATAAAATTCAAATACCACAATTGTGGTAAGACAAATGTTATAATATTTATAACATGTTTATATTATTAGATCTCGCTACGTGGCTAATAAAATTATGTTTATATATCAAACATAAACTATTAATAAATGTCAAATAAACATTTAAAATCTTCTACAAAAATTAATAAATCAAAACATGTGAATTTTATTAATTCCCCAAGACTAAGACATCATTATATGTGAATCAAACATCGAGATACCCTCCACCCCTAACTGCCGCACCGTCCAGCCCTGAATGGCCGCGTCGTCCCCTAAAAAGTTGAGGACGGAAGGGCTCCACTATGAAGGAGGCGCTCGTAGTCGTGGTCCCCTCTGCGAGTCCGCAGCGCAGCAAAAGCCCGAACCTCGTCTTTAATTTATGGGGTCATGATGAGGTCGGGCCGAGGATGGCGCAGGATAGACACTTAAGGATCTCTTTAATCGAGTTGTGTGATCAAAAGAGGCTTTCCTCAATCAAAGACGATTCATTCTTCAATCCCGCCGAGCAGAAAGGTGACGATAGTTCAGAGATGATGACGTTGAGGACAGTCTCCTTCACCGGGAGG